AGCCTCTTTAATAAATGGTGTTGGAAAAACTGGATATCAACCTGCCACAGATTAAAATTAGACCCTTATCTTTCGCCATGCACTAAATTAAAATCCAAATGGATTAAAGATCTAAATATTAAAACAGAAACATTAAACTTGCTGGAAGGTAAGTTAGGCAGAACTCTGGAAGACATTGGTATAGGAAAAAACTTTATGAACAAATCCTCAGTAGCACGGGAACTAGCAGAAAGAATCAACAACTGGGATCTCATCTTACTAAAAAGCTTCTGTACTTCAAAAGAAACCATTAGCAGAACTAAGAGACAATCTACAATGTGGGAAAAAATTTTTACCAGCTGTACCTCAGACAAAGGACTATTATCAAGGATATATAAAGAACTCAAAACAATCAGTCCCCCAAAATATAAAGACCCGATCCAAAAATGGGCATCCGAAATGAACAGGCCTATTTCTTAACACTGTCTCTTTAGAAGTTAGGTTCCAACGTACAAATTCTGGAAGAACACATACATTTAAACCACAGAATTCACCCAGCGAACTCATTGTTTAAAGCTCAATGAAGTGCTCTCTTCTCAAGGGTGTCCTCCCTAATCTTCTCAGGCAGTTGGCTTTTCCTTCTTTGTGGTCCAAAGTTGTTTTTATTATTATCATTACTATTATTATTATTATTTCCTGCAACTGCATTGAAATTATGTCTCTGCCTAGCCCCTCACCTTCGACTCCACAGCATTCTCTTTTCCTCTCATTAATACCCACACAAACCAGACTGTGAACACCTCCAAGAATCTTTAGATTCCCAGGACCTATTATCTATCAAGTATTCAACTAATGTTTACCAAATTTTTTTAAAAAATGAATAAATATGTGAATGAATGAAAGCCCTGATGGAAATATGAACATCTAGGATCTAGGAAGTCTGATGAATGAGTCTCAAGACAATCACAGGAAAAGGAAGGAGATGACAGAATGGATGTGATTTCATAAAGTGATAAAAAATGTACTATATATTTTGTTACTTAAGGGTTCCAAATGCCTATGAATAATAAATACAAACAATATTTATGGGTACAAAGGTAAGTGCATTATATACCCTAGAGGATGGAACTACTCTTTCTAAGCCATTACTACCTTGATAAGTCAATACGTTTTTTGGCACACATGTAAGGGAGAAATTGTGAGCTATGTATCTGTCAAACATTAACAAAGTACAGTTTAACCTAGTAAGTGGCATCAACTCCTTCTGTGCCTCTATAACCCATTTATCTTAATCCTACTTAGCTGGAAGATTATAGTTCTCATATATCTAGATAGCTCTTCCCAAAGTTTGGGTAAATGGTTCACACATACAAAAAAACAAGACTTTACGAAACCAGTTACCTGATTTCACAAAAGAAAACAACACTTTTATTTGACACATTTTTCTGGAAAGAAAAATATATAAAGGAAGGATATCAGATCATGCCAAACAAGAAATTTAAAAATATCTAAAGGCAGATTTTTTTTTTGTCCTTAAAAGAAAAGAAACTAGCTGAGAATTCCAAAGAAAGAAGCCAAAGGAGAAAAGAGCCACCAAAAACATACTTGAAATCACCCTTGAAAGAGGAGGGTTCACGATAAGGGGCAGGAAGACTTCAAGGAAACGTAAGATAGACTTTCAAGAACCAACATGAAAAATTTCAAGAACCAACATGAAAAATAAAGGTTAGAATGCTAATTTTTAGAAAGCAAAAGTGGTTGAGGGGACTAAATGGATTATAAAGTAGTTAAGTTGAAATTATTAAGAATGTTAGCATTATAAGGTCTCAAGTAAGGACAGAAATTAGAATTTAATATCTAAGAGATTAAAATATTGGTCTTTGCAACAAATATAGACTCTTCTTGAATTTTAGGAAGAATCTTGCTGATTTTTGACCTAATAGTTGGTAAATACCAGTTAGGAATGATAGAAACACTGACCTTGATTCTATTTTTAATTTAAATTTCTATTTTTATCAGTGTATGTCTATAATACATGATGATTACATTCATCATGGGGAGTTGGAACATATCTCTTAATTCTTTTTACCTCCCTTCCTCTATCATTGATTCTTAAAGAGATCAGAAATCAGAATTCAAAGTCACAAGGATTTGAAATTTCCCTCCCCTTATCTGGTGAAAAGAGGATATTTCTTTGTGGAAAGGCAACATTTTCAGAATGTTATAAAAACTATATTTCTATACAGTAGTACAAGTTTATGATTTATAATAATTATGCCTGAATTTAGACTAAATTTTCTGACAAAATCACCTTCTTACCTTTAGCAGAAGAAGGCTACTTGTTTCTAGTTGTTTACAGATTACACTTCACTGATTCCCATTTATTACACTTGAACATGTTATAAATTAGTGATAGAATACAGCAGGCCACTAAAGTCGTAATTTGTTAATCCCATTAATCGAAAGGTGAGACCAATTTCTAGCATTATGTATCTGAAATATATTTATCTGAAATAAATTTATCTGAAATATATTAATCTCATTTGCTCCATTTTATAAAGAAAAAACCATAGAACTGCAAATAATGTCAAATAAAATATAAATTTCCAAACAACACTGTTAGTAACAATTCCATGTAAAAATTTATATTCAATGATTTGGGGCTTATATGTCTTTTTCTCCTTGTAATGTCCTTTCTAGAAGCAAATGCTACCTATTTCTATATGATCCTTATGATGTTCAACTTTTAAAAAAATTTTATTAGTATGTGTTTGCAGTACATAATAATTACATTTACAGTGGAGCAGGAAGATTTTGTACATGTACATAACACATCTTAATTCATTTTTTTTTCTTTTTTCTGGTACTTGGGATTGAACTCAGTACTTGGGATTGTGCTTGCAAGACAGGTGGCAGCACCACTGAGCTAAATCCCCAGCCCAAACATCTCAATACTTTTTTGTCTCTTCCTTCCCAGCCCTCCCTGCTCCCTCTAACTCTTGTTCCTGGAGACAATGACAGGTGACATAAATCAGACACACAAGTTCAAATATCACATGGTTTCTCTTCTATAAGAAACCCAAAATATAAATAAAGAGCAAAATAAAAGATAATACAAAATAACAAAATTAAACTTCTGCCCTGCTTTCTGGGGAGGGGGGACTAAGAATTTATATTTCATTATTTTGTGCCTTTATTTGTTCAAATAAATTCAAAGTTAAAAGGTTTATTAATTTAAAATAAAATTACAAAAAGTGCCTGAGTGTTCTAAACCTAATATAGCAACAGCAGTGGCTATGAGCTTGGATTCTGCATAGGTTGTAGGAAAATACCATGAACTAGCTCTGTGACTTTGAACAAATTTTAACCTCTTTATCCTCAGTTTTCCTAACAGTAAAATAAGTGGAGCTAATAACAGTACCTACCTCATGGAGTTGTTGTCAGTTAAACAAGCTAATATAGCTTACATGCTGAGAGAGCTAAAGTGCTTAATGAGGATACAATAAACATACTTGCTGTTATTTACACCAATAAAGGGAAGTCAGAAGAGTGCTGTATAGATTTTATATGAATTTTTCTTTTAAATATTTTATTTTTCCTTTAGATTTCTCACACCTTTACTGTGTTTGCTTTTCTAGAAGTGCTATAACTACAGCCTGGTGATAAATATTTTCTAAGGTGAAAGGCCACATAGATGAAAGCTATTTTATTCTCTTTTCTAATTCAATAAAACACAAATGTGGTAACTTTTGGGGGACAGAGTCTGGAATTCAGAGTGTTTGTCAAATAACGAAATAAAGTATAAATTACTGGGGTCAGGGATTTAGCTTAGTGGTTCTGCCACCTGCGTCGCAAGAGCATGGTCCCGAGTTTGTTCCCTGGTACCAAAAAAAATTTTTTATATTTCTCAGATTATAACTGTTAAAAATCTGTTGTTCTTTTTCTCTTTGTGTTCAGTTTACTCTATTCCCAAAAATTATGAGAAGGGGCAGTAAAAATGGCCCAAAATTGCTCATGCAATAGCTGATATAAATGAACGGCAACACTACCTTTATCACTCCCATAATAATAGAACACCGTTTTGCTGAGAGCACACCATCGTTTTTGCCATTCAAATCCCAGAAAGCTGTGATCTGCAATAAAGGGAAGAAAAGAATAGTTTAAGTAACATATACAACTGATATAAATATAAGGCCATTTCTTTATTATAAAAGAATAGTTCATTTTCTAAGGCTTCTTTTAGCATTAATATTCTGTAACTAATCTGTATTTTCTATTTCAAAAGGCAAACCACCACCACCACCACCAATAAAGCTAAAAGGAATCAACCGAAGCAGAAATTGGGCTGCCACACTTATAGGCTCAACTGCCTGGCTACCAAACTTTATTGACAGAGACAGTTTCAAAAACTCATCTTAGGCCAGGGATTTAGCTCAGAAGCACATTGCCGGCCAGGCAAGCGTGAGGTCCTAAGTCCAATCCGCAGTACGGTGGGGTTGGCGGGGGGAGAAAAAGAAAAAGGAAAAGGAAAAAAAAAACACATCTTAAAAAAGGCAATTCATCTAGACCTCATTTTCTCATCTGTTATAAAAGGGAGAGGAGAAGTTGATGCATATTATTTCTATTATCTCTTTTGGCTTTAAAATTCAGCTAAGAAAGCTAAGAAAAGCAAAGGGAATATAAATAGGAGGGCCCAAAAAGACTACCAGAGAGATAAGCAGAATGGTAATGAAGGGAGACTTTCTGCTATTCATTTTCCATATCTTAACACCACTTCCATATTTCTCTTCCATTAAACTTTGGTGTTGAAAGAGTGAGACCATCTGGTCAACTCCCAATTATCGTGGCCAATGGAGAGGAACACTGAAATGAATACTTGACAAAGGCAGATAAGATGCCAGGCTTGCTGTGACCACAGCAGACATGCTGGATGCCAGGTCAGGGGCAGGCCTGCTACTCACCAGGGTGAGATAACAGTGAGAAATCCCATCCTTGAGAACACTAGCATGGCCCACAGCTTTTCTACAAGACAGAGGGACCAGCTGTTGCATCATTTATAAATAGCCCAGGCTGGAAACTATCCAATCCAATGTTTTGTTGTGTTGTTATTAAAAATTATTTAATGCTAAATCCAATATTTTAATTTTAGAAAATGGGATCCATATTTTTTTACAGTCCTAACCTGTACCATCATCTAAAGAGAATACTTGCTTCAAAGGTATACTAAAGCATGTTTTATCTATAAGTAAAAATAATCTTAGATTTTTTTTGCATTAGATTTTACAGCTTACCTTTTCTGCGTTTTTCAAGGTAGCCAGCCTTTAGAACAGAAGGGAGGTCCTGTGCTGCAATTGGAGGAAACTGGTTTCCTGTGGGAGGCAGAAGAGAGAAAAAAAAAAGTAGGTAATCTATTTTAGAAAAACTAAGTGCCAGATCTAATTAGATTTGGCATACTTTTAATTACTAAAATTGCTTAAATCCAGGCCTTGTTAGCCTTGTTTCAGATCTATACCATAGGCTGGTCCCTCTCCTCCTTCCTATAAATCTCAAGAGCAAAAACATGTTCAGTACTCTTCTACCTTAATATATTACTACCCCAAAATACAGTAATGTTCTGTAACTGAATGATCTTGACAGGGTGATACTTTTCAATCTATATTCTATAAGGGTATAGAAACTATTATAAATAAATTCAACACATCCCTGAAAGAGGTTAGCAACTTCAAATAAATCATGTAAGTTTTTTTATACTTTCATTAGGTTAATTCTTCAAGAATTTAAATGCATATTGATTCTTAACTGCCTATCCTAATTCCCATCAAGTAAAACATAAAATGATTTGTCCCCAAAATTAAGTGTTAAAATTTGTTGCTCTAAATCCATATCAAATTCACTCCTCCCTGGTTACACTCACAATTATTGGTATTAAACTGAGTGAGTATACTCAGATTTTTCTAGGGCATTTAAGAGCCAAAATATTAGACTGCTCTCATAGAATTATCATGCATATTAAATACCTTAAAAATAAAGATTAGGGCTGGGGATTTAGCTCAGTGGTTCTGCCACCTGCCTCACAAGCACAAAGATCAGAGTTCAATCCCCGGTACCAAATACATAAATACATAAATAAAGATTAAAGTCCCCTAGAAATTGTATATTCATGGTCATGGTCATAAACCACTCAATAGTTTCACAAATATTCTCCATTTTTATAAACTTCATTAGAAATATAATAGCTATACCTAGTATTTTACTAAAACTCAAACAAATGAAAGCAACCACAATCTAATGAAAGTTTCAGTGGAATCCATCAATGGAAATGTGGTATTTCATTGATACATCACAGATGTATCTGATAAAAGTTTCTGATATATAAATTCATCACAGAATATTTCTGAGGCAGGATCTCAAATACTGGGCTAAGTTGCCCAAAGTATATTCACTCTAGCAAGTTCTAATATCTCTCCTCCTCCCTTACCTTCTCTTCCCCCTCCTTTCATGCTACCCTTTCCTTCCTCTCCTTCTCCCTCCTCATTTTGAAAAGTAATTATTTTTTACTGTTAAAGGAATGTTGAAGGCATCCATTTTCCTTTAAAGTAATTTAAACCTTTTCCTGAAGAGTTAGTGTTTGTACATACAGAGTATTTACAGTACCATTCACAAACTTAATTTTTTCTGTGATTTTGGAAAAGATGGCTACTTTTGTGTTTGTGTGGGAAACAAGGCTGTGATAGTATCTGTCACCTGAGGCAAAGTTGCAAAAAAATTTTTTTCTTTTTTTTTTTTGGCCGAATCCTTCTGTGAACCAAATTATAAACAAAAGCATTTGTGAACTGAGGTATCATTGCCAATGGAAGTGCAAAGAGTATGGGACTACTCCTCAAGAAGACCAAACCATACTATCTGTCACCCTTTTATCTAGCTGTGGTGGTGCATGCCTGTAATCTTAACACCTGGAAGGTGAGGCAAGAGGACTGCAAGGGAAGCAAAGCTTTTATTGATTGAAAATTCATTTTTCTAAACCATTATTGCCATTTGTCCAATAGCTATGTAAATATTTTTAAAAAACAAAAGTGTTTTCCTTTAAGTAGTTTTATATTTTTAAGTCCCCAGAAGAACTATTAATTTGGATAGTACCACAAATATTATAAATATGTTATACTTTTTGATAGCAGAGTTGGAAATTTGTCACTAGATATAAAGACATGAGTCCTCATATTTTGTATACCTCATAACAAATCTACAAAGATCAATAGTATGTCACTCTTTAAGAAAATTCAGATTGGCTAAAGATGTAAAATTCAACAAATATAAGCATAATAATACATCAAGAAGGGGCTGGGGATGTAGCTCAGTGGTGCCACACCTGCCTTGCAAGTGCAAGGTTCTGAGTTTGATCCCCAGTACTAAATATAAATAAATAAAAATTTTTAAAGTACATCAAGAAAAAGAAGGTAAGAGCTGGGCATGGTGGTGCATTCCTATAATCCCAGTACTCAGCAGGCTGAGGCAGGAAGATCACTTTGAGTTCGAGACCAGCCTGGGCTACAAAATGAGTTCCAGGTCAGTCTCAACTACAGAGTGAGACCCTGTCTCAAAAAACCAAAAAAGAAAAAAAAAGAAAAAGAAAAAGAAGGTAAGGGTAGCATAAACCTACCCAGCAAGCAACAATGAGGAACTGCTATGCATTTACCATACACCAAAATCACATTATCTTACTTGAGAAACTATGCAAACACATGCAATTATTCAACATTTCAGTAAATTCATAATTACATATTAGTTCTGTGTACTGTCAAAATTCACACACTTCTCCTAAAGATAAGCTGGAAGTGTGTCTTAGTCCTATATCACACAGGAGATATTGAATACTGTTAAGACTTTTACTTAACTATTATTATATGTTAATATAACTATTAGTTGCATGGATACTAAGATAGATATGACTACTGTACACTGTCTAGAGAATGTTCATCAGAAAGACAAGAAAAAGAATAATTTGATAATTATATAAGTTAAGCACTGTAATCATTTCTAAAGCAGCTGGAAGATTTCCTTTTAAGATGAAAGAAGGTAATGAAGAAATTATGTCCTAAGAAAGAAAACATATTAACTTATACTCACACCAGTTGATTTGTACTGTTGAAAATTATCACTTGCTTAAGGAGCCACAAATTTTCAGCATACAAAGAAAATAAAGAAAGACTAGTTATCTTTTTATAAAAGGTGTGTGTATTTCTTATTTGATAGTGTCCCTTTCCTGAAGCAGCTCAAAATATTCAACATAAGAATACTATGCTCAGATAACTAAGCAAGAAGTGGGTCATCTCCCAATCTGTAACTTTTACTATACGTAAAACTTTGGTAAGAGGAGACAACTATGGCAAAAGCAGAGGAGTGCATCAGAAGCATTTGGGATATGGAATTTAAGACCTTCAAATTCAGTGTGTACTTGAAGATGATACTGTTGGAGCTGACATGCTGGAGAAGCAGTCAGTGTTTTTGAGAATTACATACGTGGTCATGCATTTGGCTACTTCCATACAATCCAAAACCCACCCAGAATGGTTGCAATACAAAAATAAATAAAATAAAATTCTAAAATATCTTGAAAGGTGAAAAAGTCTGCAAAAATTCCAAAAAGTCCTAGAATTCACTTCTTATTCAGTTTCCTTTTACCTAGTTTATTCTTTTTTTAAATTGAGTTTATTGGTACATTTTAGGAATACAGTACAGTTACATTCATTGTTGGGATCTTGTACCTCTACATGACAGGTCTTGGTTCTCATTTTGTCCCCCTGTACCTAGTTTATTCGTGTGCAGGCTTTTTTTTTTTTTGGTTCCGGGGATCGAACTTGAGACCTTGGGCTTGCGAGTCAGGAGGAGGCCCCACCAAGCTAAATCCCTCACCCCACTTAATTTATTCTTCATGTGGCACTGTGATTAGTTGGAGGTGACTCAGAAACATTTTCAAAATAGACATCTATTTTTCATTATCCTTTTTATTTTCTAATTTTTTTGGATAAGAAACTTTGGTGACCAATTTAAGTACCAGATTTCTTTTTTTTTTTTTTTTAAGTACCAGATTTCTAAGGAATTTAAAACTTTTATTTTTTATTTTATTGTTCAAAAATCATTACAAAATTAAGGGCTTAATTGTATTAATATATTCACACTTTTATGGTTGTTCAACCTAGATTTCATACAAAATTTCTGGAGCCTCACCTTTAGCTGGCTTCAATTTTCCCCTTATTCATGGGCATTTATATAACCTTCAACACTAACAATTTAAACTTTCAACTTCTATAGTTTTACCCACCACTTTTATTCAGCTACAAATTCCTTTTCCCTTATACTGGCAAAGAAAGAAAAATTGTAAGAAAGATTGTTTTTTGTTCATGAAACCTTTCACTGTAAGTCAGGACCTTGGGTCTATTTAAACAAATATTCTGAGTCACTTAACTATTTCCTTGACCTGCAATAAGTTAAAGATAAGCTTGTCAATACTATTCTGCTCTCCACATATTAATTCATATAAACAAAACAATTGCATGTTTACCTAATCCTTTTTAAATTCTTCATTTTTACCTAATAGTTCGGATACTAAGACCCTAAAGCAGCTACCTGCTGTGGCAGGTGGGAGAAGACAGCGCTTCCTTTCATCTCTTAGAAAAATACCTGGTCATCTAGTATTTTCTGAATTTCATAAATAGACTCATTTTTTAAAAAAATTATCTACTTAATGATTGCTTTACATTTAAGTCACTTTAAACTAGACATCAATTTTCTGAAAACATTTAATTCATGCTGGTAATACCTCTCCAGCCCTTTTAGTTATTTTATTTTCTAATTTTTCTTGAGAAATGGCCATCAAAATTGAAGTATATTTCAGGTGTCATTTAATAATGGAATTTAACCCCAACACATCGTAACTTTGCACAAAGGTTAAAAAATGCTAGTTTTGTTTCTAGTGTCCTTCAATTACAGGGACCACACACTTCTCAGGAGAGCTTATCCTTGGGGATAAGGACTTAAAGTCAGATACAACAGCCATAATGACACTGGGCAAAAGCAAAGGCTGTAATCACAAGTTTGCCCTCTGTTAATCTCCTTTCTTCTCTGTAAAGTGGCAAGTCACTCTGAAAGCTAGCAAGTAAAATCTGAGTAACTATTAGGATAATTCAGGCTTTCCTTTATTAGGTCTATTTCATGAAATGGAAATTCCAATAGCCTCATGAGAATTTCAGTATGTTTTCAATAAGTCTGAGGCCAAAGGAGACAGCAGCTATTAATGTCACAACTATATGCATGTGGAAAGAGTTCATGAATGTGACTAAAAAAAAACCTGAAATATTAAATGTTTGTGCTG